GCTGTGGTGGGGCTCTGACAGTCTGCTAAATGCTCTCTTTTCGGGTCTAGCTTCTGTCTGCATGGCCCTACCACTGGCCAAGTTCTAACCCAAACCAATCAACTTCCCTGCAATTAAGATCATACTCTGCCTGGTTTCCAGTAAGACGGACACAACCTAGACTAGAGGATCACCATCTCCTCACCCCGTTCTCTCTCTCCACCCACCAGATTGGACCTGTGGACAGTGCAGTCAGCCTGTGCACAGGAATCTGGATTACTGTCCATCCCTGGGTAGGGCCTGGGGGAGCAACACAGGATGACCCCACACATCACTGGCCCCATTGACTGCAACATACTCTCGCTCTGGAACTCACTGTTTGGAAATGTATCTAACTTAGCCCAACTAAGTTTCTCTCACCACCGCCTTGCCCACGCAAAGCTGTTTCTCTGCGAGTCCTGGAAACTCCCCTTTTGCCTCCCGGAGAAATCACAGGGCTCTTTGGTGAAGGCTTCAGAGGAGGAACGCACAGCCTTGAAGTCAGTCCCTTGAAGATTCAGGCAGATGACCAGCCTCCGGCTGGAGACAGAGAATTGGAATGATAGCCTTTGCTCACGGATGTTCAAGAGATGCTCCCTTCTTGCTTCTGAATCTGCCTAATCCTCGCCTTGTCATTCTCTTGAGATCTCACTGTCAAAAAGGCTTTGGTGTGTCTTCCTTCCTCCCCTGCTGACCATCTCAATTCCCTCCTCTGCCCAGCAACCTACTCTGCTTCCTGCCCAAGCCAGGGACAAGCCTGTCACAGGAAGCAGCCAACCTTCACATCCTGTCTGAGCATCCTGCCCAGCACTCACCCAGGAGACTGTGGAGACCACGCTGACCGCACACAGACACTCCCTCTGAGGCCGTTCAGAGTTTTAAAAATTATCCTTTCAGCCGCCGCAGCGCCAGCAGCTGCCGCCAGGCCCGCCCGCCCGGGATGGACGATCCTGCGGAACTGCTCCCGCTTCCTGGCCCAGAGGAACGAGCAGACCCCAGCACCGAACCCCGGAGCCTGAGGCCGCCGCTCCCTTCCTACAGCGGCCTGACCCACCGCCAGACGGAGGGCGCGGGGGCGCCGGCGGCCCAGGCGCGGTGGCCATCACGCAGCGCAGACCCCGGAGGCCGGCCGCCTGCTGCGTGCGCAGCCCCAGCGACAAGCGCGCGGCCCCGCTGAGCAGCGTCCGGCACCTGATCCGCAGGGACAAGCCCCGCCGGACCTGCGCATGGCCGCCGTCTGTGCCCGGCCAGCCCATCCTGCCGGCCACCCCGCCAAGGGCTCCTGGGCACCCTCCCCCGACAGTAAAGGCAGCTGCCGCCCACCTCTGACCCTCAAAAAAATTTTTTTAATTATCCTTTTATTGATTTCAGAGAGGCAGAGGGAGAGAAAGATCAATGATGAGAATCATCGATCCGCTGCCTTCTGCACAGTCCCTTCAGGGACCGAGCCTGAAACCCGGGCATAAGCCCTGACCAGATCAGGTGACCTCTTAATTCCTGGGCTGACACTCAACCACTGAGCCACGCAGCGGGGCACATTGTTCAGAATGTGATACCTCACAGAGGAATTAGCCACTTTCCAGCTTGAAGGTGAGAAGTGAAAACAAAGAAGCCAATATAGATAATTGATTTTCTTGAGCTTAATTCAGTTGCTTGAGCAGTTATGACCTTTCCCATAAAAAAAAAAACGATCTCAAAGTAGCTTTTCAAAGTGCTATATCCTGCAGGTTCCTAGACTTGCATTCATGCATTCAACAAATATGACTTAGCCAATGTAGTAATATTTACTCTTAAAGTAAAAGTCTTAGCTGCTCAGAATATCTCCAAGACAACTGCTGCTTTTCTCGGAGTTTTTTGTTGTTGCTAATGTTTTCATCCACGTATGAAGTAGGGAATGATCCACTGTGTGTGTATACCTTAGTTCGGAGGTTCTCTGGTTCATCTAGAACAGCAGCTGCAGTCAGTACCTGGCACTTGTTAGAAATGCGAATTCCTGGGCTCTACCCTAGACCTTCTCAATCTGAAGTTCTAGTTCCCATCAGTAGTGTAAGGAGCCTTCCAGGTGATGCTGATTCATGCTAGTTTAAGAACCACTGCCTCAGGTTCTTGAACCTAATGATCACATGCAGACTCCATCATTAATGGGGCTGAAATAAGGAGCTGACTCAGTGACTATTTCACATCATATGTCCTCTATGGAAAAACTATATAATTTATAACAAAAGCATTTTGGGACTTAATCTTCATTTGGTTGAGGCTTGTTTTTCAACTAGTGAACACCAGAAGAGGGTCAATATTACCTATTCATAAGCTGAATAATATGTAAGTAGGCAAGAATCAGTTTTCCTTAGACATCTAAATCCTGATTTATACTTGGTGAGTATACACTGAGTGACCAGATTATTATGCATTCAGAGATCATAATAATCTGGCTACTCAGTGTATACAAATACACACACACACACACACACTGAGTGGCCAGATTATTATGCGCTCAGAGACCATAATAATCTGGCTACTCAGTGTATATATTTCTAGCACCTTCCTCTTCTCTCAAAAGGTTCCCAGTTTAGATAATAAATTATGTCCTAAGTATCACCCACTTTATGAATAAAAAAAATAAGGCAGTGAAATGTGTGAATAATTCCTGAAAAGTATTTATCATTCCACTAAGTTTCACTTAACAAAAGCAATTTTTAAAAAAAATTCTTAGATATTAATTTTTTAAAATATATTTTTATTGATTTTAAAGAGGGTAATTTTTCTTTTAATTTTTTTGTTGTTGTTAATACTTGCAGAGGATATTTTTCCACTGATTTTTTAAAATATATTTTATTGATTTTACACAGAGAGGAATTGAGAGGGACAGAGTTAGAAACATCGATGAGAGAGAATCATCGATCAGCTGCCTCCTGCACACCCCACATTGGGGATGTGCCCGCAACCAAGGTACATGCCCTTGACCGGAATCAAACCCGGGACCTTTGAGTCTGCAGGCCGATGCTCTATCCACTGAGCCAAACCGGTTTCGGCTATCTTAGAAAATTTTAACTTGCTTTCCTAACTTAGAAATTTACCCTCAAGAAATAATAGAAAGATTTATCTATTTTTCTCTCTGCTTCCAGTATCATGACTTAATTATCTCTGGATAAAATAAGTCTGAGAGGTGAATGTTATAATTATTTTTCTCATTTAAAAACATTCTCTATTAAAAAACTACCTTCTTTACTGACTTTTTTTTAACTGTTTTTTAAAAAATATATTTTATTGATTTTTCGCAGAGAGGAAGGGAGAGAGATAGAGAACTAGAAACGTTGATGAGAGAGAAACATCGACTAGCTGCCTCTTGCACACCCCCTACTGGGGATGTGCCCGCAACCAAGGTACATGCCCCTGACCGGAATCGAACCCGGGACCTTTCAGTCCGCAGACCGATGCTCTACCGCTGAGCCAAACCGGTTTCGGCTCTTTACTTTTAGTTACAAAGTTTATCTTCAAAACTTTTCCTTATGAACAACTTTCCAACCACCCTATAATGTTTCATCTTAATCTAAAATAGGCAAAAATAACTGTATAATTATGGATCGATCTGTAATCTGACTTCAGAGTTAAACAAACAATAAGACCACAAACAGGAACTTAAAAGTCATATCATGTAACCATATATTACTTTAAATCAGAGCTTTTCAACATAGGTACTATTGACATTTTACATTACATATAATTCTTGGTTATAGGGGCAATCCTATGCAATGTAGGATGGTTAGCAACATCCTTGGCCTCTAGCACCTAGATGCTAGTAAGCACTCACCCAGCTGGGACAAGTAGAATGTCTTCAGACACTGCTAAATGTTCTCTGGGGATAAATTTACCACCTGATTAGAAACACTGTTTAACGGTATATCACATTTCCTACTTTTTCCACTCAACAGCTAATCAACTTTTAAAAAAATATTATCTTTATTGATTTGAGAGAGAAAGGGAAAGAGAGAGGGAGAGAGAAACATCAATGATGAGAATCATTGATAGGCTGTCTCCTGCACGCCCCCCACTGGGGATGGAGCCCAACCCAGGCATGTGCCCCTGACCAGAATCAAACCCGTGACGCTCTATCCACTAAGCCAAACCGGCAAGGGACAGCTAATCAACTCTTATGTATCCACTCAATTCTGAAGGAAGTACACAGACTAATACAAAATATTATTTTTAATTAGACAAGGCTTAACTTAAGACATCATAGTGACATCTACTGGCTTGGTACTGAATTGTACACTTGATATATACTGTAAAAAATCCTTCTTAGAAAGTTGAACAATTCACTGAAAGCAGTAACATTAACATCAGAACTGTTAATTCTGTGTAAAGCCTTCCACAGATAATATCAACTGTCAATTGCTTCTTAGATTTTTATGTACTCTCTGCTGGATAAATTAAATTGTTAGTGAATGTTTTCAGAGACAGATATTAGAGGAATATCCTTTTATGATGAGTAAAAAAAGTCTGGGTCAAAACTTGCAAAACTTAAGCAGCATGCTTTTTTATAATTTATACTAAAACTTAAAAATACCAAAAATTTTAAAATAATAATTCTATAAATAAAATTACAGCAACTCTCTAGGTTTTTATTTCTTCTCTTCTCTCTTTTTCCCCCTAGGTATTTTAATAAAAGACATTTGGTAATTAAATTCTACCGTCACTTAAACTGATGAAGTTTATTGGTGTTAAAACTATAACAAAGTTGATCCTAAAACATTTTGCAATGCAAAATTATTTCACTCAAGGAGTGTTTAATAATTTGAATGCCAGGAATTACAAGCAATTTTCAAATGCAGAGACTCTCACATTCATAAAACTTTATACATCATTTGTACTAACAGATATTTATATTACTAAAATCAAGCATGCATCACTTCCAAACATTCTTGTATCATGATTTTTTATATTACATTATTAAAACCATTTCTTCGCCATTACACATATTATCATACACTTGCACCATTCTCCTTGGATTTCTGATCTTTATCTTCACTCTTCACATTATACTATATAAAACAACAAAGAAAAAGTATATTTTATTAGAATGTCTTAAATGTAACTATAACAAATAGTAAACAGAGATATCCATTTTAGTATCTATGGAAAATTGACCCTGTGGGGCAACTATGTTCAAGTCTTTAAATTCTATGCAGAATGGTTTCTAGTATTTGAGAGAGCCATCTGAGCCCTGAGAAATGAGAAGTTCTAAGGAATCACAGCAGTGAATTCCCTGCACTACAGATATTTTTCTTTTTGTTCTGAAAGAGAAAAAGATTTTAGATCTCTGTTATTAAAGTTAGTTTATTATGGCATCGAGTTACTGGATTTTTTTACAAGAATACTAGTCAATTAATTTTGAGAGTGCCAAAGAGTTTCTCCTCTGCCCAATAGTAAATGGGTTTTTAAAAGAAATGAGTGGTTTTATCTTCCTCAAATTTAAATTCACTGAGGAATACAAATGAAATTTGCTATATGAAATCTGTTCACCTAAACCATGTTGACATCCTGAATAGGTTCTAGAAAAATACAATATTTAGGGAATTGCTTTTGAACAATCGAATGGACAGAATGCAACCATTATTCGCTCCAAGAAAAATCACCAAGAAATAGTGCAAAATAGATTTTAAAAACTGGAATAAATTATGAAAACATTTGAAGTACAAAACTACTAACCTTGTTGAGAACAGTGTGGATTTCATCCATTACTGTGGATAAGTTTCTGATTGTCTTATTCAGTTGGTTTTCAAATTGCAAATTCATATTTTCTGAAATTGTTAAGTTATCTTGTAACTGACCAAGGTCCTTTTTAATTTCTCCCAGTTCACCAGAGAGGCTTCTGTTGGAATTCTGCAAATGTAATATGGTTTTTCCATCTTCATCTATTAAAAGAAGCATATGCAATTCCTTTAAAGAGCCTATAAATGTCAATTTCATTACCAAGCAAACTGCAATTCTCACTTAAAGTTTTATCTAAGTATTACTTCTAAAATCCAGATTCCATTTTTAGATGGTTGTATAGATTAGATAAAATAGCAGAAACTGGTCAAAAATAGAAGGATAAAGCCCGTTTGGCTCAGGTGGACAGAGCATCGGCCCTCGGACTTAAAGATCCCAGGTTTGATTCTGGTCAAGGGCACATACCTTGGTTGCAGGAGACAATCAATTGATGTGTCTCTCTCACATCAATGTTTCTGTCTCTCCTCCTCCCTTCCACTTTCTAAAAATCAATGAAAAAATATCCTCGGGTTGCCCTAGCTAGTTTGGCTCAGGGCATATAGTGTCGGCCTGTGGACTGAAGGGTCCTGGATTTGATTCTGGTCAAGGATGCAAGCCTGGGTTGCGGGCTCAATCCCCAGTAGGGTGTGTGCAGGAGGCAGCTGATTAATGATTCTCTCTCATCATTGATGTCTCTCTCTCTGTTTTTTCCTCTCTACCTTCTCTCTGATATCAATAAAAATATATATATTTAGCCAAAACCGGTTTGGCTCAATGGATAGAGCGTTGACTGTGGACTGAAAGGTCCCAGGTTTGATTCCGGTCAAGGCATGTATCTTGGTTGAGGGCACAACCCCCATAGGAGGTGTGCAGGAGGCAGCTGATTGATGTTTCTCTCTCATTGATGTTTCTAACTCTGTATCCCTCTCCCTTCCTCTCTGTAAAAAATTAATAATATTTATATTTAAAAAATTTAAAAAAACCACCACGATTTTATAGACTTTATGTTTTAGAGTAGTTTCAGATTTACAGCAAAATTAAATGGAAGGTACAGAGATATCCTGTCTCCACACTTGCAGAGTCTCCATCATGATCCATGTCCTTCATCAGAGTTGTACATTTCTTACAAAAGAAGTCTGTACACTGAGGCATCTTAGTCATCCAGAGCCCACAGTGTAACCTCTGGTTCACTCTTGAGATTGTGTATGCCATGAGTTTGGAAAAATATATGGCATGTATCCAACATGATAGTGTCATGTGCAGTAGTTTTACTGTTCTAAAATCCCTCTGTGCTCTGCTTATTCATCCCTTCCCTCCTCGATCCCCTGGAAATCATTGCTATTTTCACTATTGCCTTAAGTTGCCTTTTCCAGAATGTCATATATTTTAAATTAAACAGGGTGTAGCCTTTTCAGATAGACTTCTTTCACTTAGTAATAGGCATTTGTTTTCTCCACGTCTTTTCATAACTTAATAGCTCGTTTCTTTTCAGTGCTGAGTAGTATTTCAATGCCTCAATGTACTAGGGTTTATTTGGCCATTCACCAACTGAAGGATATCTTGTTTTCTTCCAAGTTTTGGCAATTATAAATAAATCTGCTATAAACATCCATGTGCAGGGTTTTTGTGTGAATGTACGTTTTCAACTCCTTTGGTAAATACCATGGAGTATGATTCTTGGTAAGAGTATGTTTAGATTTGTGGGAAATCATCAAGCTGTTTCCAAAGTGAGAATTATTTATTTTTAAAATATATTTTATTGATTTTTCACAGAGAGGAAGAGAGAGGGATAGAGAGTTAGGAACATCGATGAGAGAGAATCATCAATCAACTGCTTCTTGCACATCCCCCACTGGGGATGTGCCCGCAACCAAGGTACATGCCCTTGACCAGAATCGAACCTGGGACACTCCAGGCCGCAGGCCGACACTCCATTCACTGAGCCAAACTGGTTTCGGTGAGAATTATTTTTTTAACAACCTGAGTGAGAAGATTTCTAACATCTCCATGGTTCATTAAGAACAATGCTGGTAATTAATAAACAATTATTAAAATGTCTCACTTGCATTTCACTATGCAATTCTTTTTATAAAAAAGACTTACGGAGATAAAAAATTAAACTTCAACATTTTCCCAAAGAATAATCCATTCAGAACATGGTGGAATATTTTATATTACTCATGCAGAGAAGTCTATAACTCAGAACTTATTTTCTTGTTTAAAACATATAGCTCTATAACTCAAAGCTTTTTCAATATTATAAAGAGCTTACATCTATATGAACAATGTGAAGTGAACAATTGAATTTTACAAACTGAGAACAAATATTATATTTTTGTTACAATTTGACTCATAAGTTGGTTTATGAACTACATTCTGTAACTTATTGGAAGGGTTTAACACAAATTATGAATTGATCCCTTTCATTTTTCTCATTATTGCTATCCTATCTAATAAAGAGGGAATATGCTAATTGACCATCACTCCATTACAAAGATGGCTGCAACCACAGCTGAGGCCAAGTTCCCTAAGGAGCCTTAACAAGCAATCAGCAGGGACCTGAGGCTACGCCCTCTTCCGCCCCCATGGGGCTTCACAGGGGACCTCAGACCATGTTCCCCAACCAGCAGGGTTTGACTGGTTACCTTGGGGTGTGCTTCCCATCATGGTGCTGGACTAGGGGAACTGAGGCTGCTCCCCACACCCCAGTGCCAGGCCTGGGGACCTCAGGCCACAAGCCCTGCCCCAGCACCAGGCCAGGGGACCAGAGGCTATGCACCCCTTGTCTGGCTGGGCTTGACAGGGGACCTCAATGTGCACCCCCAGTGCTGGGCCGGGGGAACTCAGGCCACGCTCCCACCCAGCAGGGCTTGACAGAGGACCTGAGGCTGTGTTCCCCGCTTCGTGCTGGGCCGGGGGACCTGAGGCTGAGCCCTTCCCCACCCAGCAGGGCTTGACAGAGGACCTGAGGCTGTGTTCCCCGCTTCGTGCTGGGCCGGGGGACCTGAGGCTGAGCCCTTCCCCACCCAGCAGGGCTTGACAAGAGATCTCAGGCCATGTCCCCCATCTGGTGGGGCTTGACGGAGGACCTCAAGGCACAACCCACACCCCTGTCTGGGCTGGGGGAACCTCTGGCCACACACCCTGTCCTTGCACCAGGCCAGGGGACCTGAGGCTACGATCCCTGTCCAGCAGGGCTTGACACGGGTGAGACTGGCCGGGTCTGGATCTAGCCCAATTGGGGGGCGAGGGGGGCATGCTGGATCTGGGTCTCATGCAATTTTGAGGTGCATGTGGGTGGCCTGGGACTTGACTCTGACAGGAGGAAAGTTTTCATATACATTTTACTAATTTTCTTTCATCTCTGACACTTCTATTATAGAGAAAGGGCAAATAATAATATTAAATTATTTCCTCTAATTAATCCTCCTTTAATGTGCAAGAATTTCATGCACTGGGTCACTAGTATATGATATATTTCCTAGCAGCAGAGCAAACTCAAGTATGATTAAAGTGGATACCCACCCACCCACACACACACACACCCCAATGGCCTGTCAGACAAACATATTTTCATCCTAAAAGACAACTCAAATGTTACCTCTTCAGTGAAGATTTCTGGGATTTTTTCCTTGCACCCTCCACCTGTGCTTCCAGAAAAATATGTACAGAGATCTGCACTTCCTGCATTATTCTGGTTGCTTGCCTGCTTGTTGTTCTGTGCTCCTTGAGAACACCTCTGCATCCAGCAATCTCTATGAAATGCTTGTGCAATGAGCAGGGAGAAAGTGAATAATATATTTTGCTGTGTTATGACCTGTTAAGTAAGTAGTGAAGGTTCAAGATTTTCAAAACCACATAATTGGTTTTCTGACTGCAAAGACTCTTAACTTTCTTTTTTTCTTTTTTTTTTTCAAATTAAAATATACATTTAATGTAATTTTTCTCATCAGAATAACAGTGGAATAATTTCATTAAATGAAAATAAGGCATTTTGAAGGAAAAAGGGAACAAACAAGTTGGACTGGAAACACCAGCTATTAAATTTTATTATGGAACTCTAATAATTTAAATAATATATTAGTGATAAGTATTAGGAAAAAGACAGTGAAACAGAAGAGAAAATACCACATGCAATACAAACAACTTCCAGGATGGCATTATCCTCCTAATAACCTTTTTACTCCTGTCCCTTCCCTAAAAATAGCAATTCCTTCAACTTCTTTTTAAAAATATATTTTATTGATGTTTTACAGAGAGAAAGGGAGAGGGATAGAGAGCTAGAAACATCAATGAGAGAGAAACATCGATCAGCTGCCTCTTGCACAGATCCTTCTGGGGATGTGCCCGCAACCAAGGTATATGCCCTTGACCGGAATCGAACCTGGGACCTCTCAGTCCACAGGCTGACATCTATCCACTGAGCCAAACCAGTTAGGGCTCCTTTAACCTTTTTAATGGAGGATGCTCATTCTCTCATATGGTAGTATTAGCATTCAAAGGTAGAATTAGCATTCTCTTAATTCTCTAATAACACTGTGGCTGAGTGAGTAGATTGCAAAGAGGGGGAAAATCAGAGTTTATTTCCATTGAGGTTAAGGGACCAAGAAGGTAGGATGGTACATGTGCTGCCCATGTGAATATTAAATTCATTTAAGATGATAGGAGATGCTAAAGTGGAGAGGAAGACACCCTCAATGAATGCAGAAGCATGATGCTCACTTTGGTAGGTTATTAATGAGAAAGGTAAAACAATGTTCTGATTGTGTTATAAGACTCTTGAAAGTGACTTCTTAAGAACTATCCATCAAACAGATTTTCCTATATATCATTCCAATTTATAACTATTAATGTAATGTCATCTATTATAAAATATTGTTTATTTGTTCCACTGCTTTATGGCATGCCCTGTATTTTTTCACAGTATTATCTCCCTCATGAAATGCTTTAAAAATGTCTCATTTCTTTGCCAACTAAATTTTGATATCCTAGAATGACTTGGCCTCTCTTTCTCTTTATTTTATTGATTTCAGTGAGAGAAAGAGAGAAGTAGAGAGAGACAGAAACATCAATGATGAGAGAGAATCTTTCATCGGCTGCCTCCTGCACATCCCATGCTAGGGATCAAGTCCTCACCCAGGCATGTGCCCTGATCAGGAATCAAACCATGACATTATAGTTCATGGGTAGATGCTCTACCACTGAGCAACACCAGCCTG